TCACTGCATTGGCGTTTTAAAGGCTGTTCCTGTTTTGATGATAATCTCAATTACTGCTTTATGATATTTGTATCGTGTTTTAAGACCGTTGCTATCAGCTCTGGGATTCAGTTGAAGGAAGGGTGGGGTCTAAGAGCAGTAAATAAATGATGACTTGCTGCAATGGCAGGACTAGCTCTGTCCCCAATTGAAACCTAGTTTAATATCCGATTGTAGTTAAGGATGTTCAAGGATTCAGTCAGTCCACATTTTGAAGCAAACCAGCCTCATTCACACTTCCCAGACAGACGGGAATTGTTATCCCCCAGGTTTCACAATTTCTTGGCTCAAAAACGATGTGCAAATATTAAAATTCATGTAACCTGTGTACTTTGGGACAAAATGTACACGATTTTGTAATACAGTTGTTGGCTCAAAAGAAGTATCAAAATGTGCATGACATTTGTATTTTTGGGTAAAATGCAAGTTTAAAAAATAATATGAAGATTTGTGTTTATTTTTTTTAAAACGTGCAGACTAATGACAAAAAAGATGGGACAGACTTTCAAATAATTATACACAAAACAGACACCAACTGAAAATATAGTTAAACATCTATCTCAAAGTACAGCCCCTCTCAGTGCTATTTTTCTAGAAAAAGAGGTGCCGGAATTCACCATGAACACCTCCTTCGTTGTCTTAGAATGGTAATGGCGCCCACCTGAGTTCTGAAGAGTTCTGGCTTTAAAAAAACCCTGGTTCCTTTATACTGAAAGGAATCTGCTCCTTGCAGCCTTAAAGGCACTTCCTTATTTTATTTTATTTTTAAAATCATATTAGTTACCCCATCACAAGCAATTATTTGTATGCCTCATTCACAAAGTTCTAATTTTAGTGGTGCCATTCCAAAAAGATGCAGGGCTACAAATCTGTAGGACCCACTTTCCACATGTTGATTTTAACACTGGAATAGTTTCAAATTTTCTCAGTTCTGAAGTGAAATGGAGCTTATCCAGGGACTCAGATCCAGCTGACATGATGCTGGAGACATGAATGTGTGAGGAACTAATGCAATCACTTGATGAAGAACTCTATCAAAGGCTGTCAGAATTCACATGACATTGGCAACATCAGAGACATCAGCATATGACGCCACTTTCTGCAGGACACAAGCTGGTTCAGATCTGAACGGCAACAGCATGCGATGCACAATTTGTAATACATCCCTCCTCTTCCATCTTTGTTCTTTGTTCCTTGTGGTGATAGTTCCTCCAGTCTAATGGAAGAGCTGCCCTCATCAACAGATGGAGTTACAGCTACTTGGAGCCATTACAAAAGTTGAAAATAATTTGTGTCTTATTGCTTTCTCACCGCCCAAAGGCAATGCAATATTCAAGTGTCAAAAACAAACAATAAAACAGAAATATTTTTCTTCATTAACAAACCAGATGGTTTCCCCTGCACATGAGTCAGGCATTGACAGCAACTGTTTGACAATGTGTTTATAGCTTGTTTCCAATACTTGCTGCGCTAGGTTAAAGGCTTATACTTAAGGTACCAACAACAACCACTACAGAACATGTTACTGCTCTGACGTAACATGAATGCACATTAGCTTAAATGTATAGTATCAGGGTATTAATTTTTATATCCTTTTGTTATTTATAGAGTATGAGTAACTTCAACAAATTTCAAAGGGTCAAAGGCATACAGTGGTTTCTAAGATGATCTTTCTAATATTGTTCTATATATAATTTATTTCATCAAATAATAATTTAGGGCTTCTAGATTCTACTCACCAAATGTTTGTTTTTCTTGTAAATATTTTTGAGGTCTACTCATTTATAAGTCATATACATTTTTTAAAAAAATCATACTTATCAACTCATCCAAGGACATTAAGTGAGAAAGTCTATTGCATTCTGAGTGATCACAAATGGTATTTAACGACTCGCTGAAAGAATTATTTTCTGATCAGTTGCTGCGAAGCATTCCTGTGAAGACTCTACTGACTCTGTCTTTCAAAAACGATGAAAGCAGTCAAAAGGTATGATTAACTTCTTAGTCCCTGCAATTTCCTATTGCTCTATTTGCCCTAGATTTTGGAATTGACTTCCTGCCTCACTGCAAAATGCACAGTTGCTCAGCTTGATAAATTGCACAAATTCATTTTTGATCACAGTTATCTTCTATTTACTACGTAGCCAGTGAGGTTAATCATATGCTGAGGCAATTCATATTCCACACACATCTATCCTCTTCCTCCCCATGGTACTTTGCATATTTTACACACCAGGAGATGCTATGTCTGTCGTCTCACTAAAATACTAAGAGGTCATTCCTGGGTGCCAACAGCCTCCTCTGGTTCACATATATGAGTTCTGGTCTGCCTACCTGGGTTTTCCTGAACCAAGGGAAATAAACAGGCAAAGGATGAGAGTGCATAATAATTAAATCTTCATATGACAGCAAACTTGTAAGAGCCCACAGTAGTAAACAATTCAAAGCACTGGTGCTCTGAGCTCCTGTTGAATCTTTAGAAATGCAAGCCTTCTTCATGCAAAAGGGGGTCCACACAATTAAAGGGGCAGCAGGGCTGTGCTGCTAGCCCCACCACTGACAAAACACAGCTTCCCCCAGCCCCACCATCCACACAAGGAACCATTTAGGGAGAAAGCCAACACATGCAGATTGTACAGGGTTCCAGGCCCTGGGGATCTAGATATGCAGGCTTTCCACTTGCAGACGTCCATGCTATGCCTAATGTGTGGATGAGGAGGTGCCAGAAGCTGAAGGGGCCAAAGGGCTTAGTGAGCTGGGACAGTCTGTGGCAGAGAGAAATCGAGAAGCTGAAGCTGCTGAGTGGGAGGAGGGAGGTCAAGAGGCTGGTGAAGAACCACAGGTGTCTCCTCCCCTGTTGCTGCAAGATCCCCTCCCCCTTGTCTCCCAGAACCAGGAAGGCATGAAAAGGGCAGAGGAGAGATTGGCTGCATGCAGGCGCAGTCTCCAATTGCTTGGGGAAAGCCCTGGAGAGGAGGAGACATAGACATACGAGGTAGGGACCTTTAGTCTTGGCAACTTCATGGAGCAGTAGTGGGGAAAATTTTCAACCCAGGGGCCTCGTTTCCTTCTGGGCACTGACCCACTGTTGGGTGTGACCAGAGGCAAACATGGGTGGTGGAACCAATGTAAATGTTTCCTGGTTTCTATGTTCACACAACCATCCATCCAGCAAGTGGCATAATCTGAATCTAAGGACGCATTCCAGGAGGAGCTACTCAAAGAGATGCAAAATAAGGGTGATTGAGGGGTGTGGCTTGGGAAGAGAGGATGTGGCTAAGGACAGGGCATGGCCTGGAGAAAGTCTCAAGGCTCAGGAAGAGATACCAAGAGGGCTGCCTTTAGCCTCCAGATCTGAGGTCCCTCAACTCTGCTTTAGAGTGTGTTAAGAACAGGCAGCCCACTTCCTCCTAGATTAATTGGGCTACTCCCATGAAAAACCTCTTATCTGGATTGTGTTTACTGGTGGCACCGTACTACAGATCCTTCTGGTGTCCCCACCCAGCAGCAGATGTTTGGTTTTTCTAGATGGTGGTGAATGAAGAACTTTTAGATAATTTTGTGCTTCTGATTCTATTGGAGAATATACAGAACCGGAGAGCAAATGGAACTTGCCTTCCATACATTCAGGTCTGAGGTATGATGGTGTCTTTTCTTCCTGTTCTACATCACATATATTTATCACAAATGTTTGTGTTCCTTTGTCTCCCAGCACCCTTTTCCCTTTGCAAGATTGGTTAACACAGCTTGAAGCATTCAATCTTTTGATAAGTTTGCAAAGACAAGTTATTTTTCCTGCTGTTTCAACACACACACACTCACTCTCTCTCACACACACATACACACACACACACACTTTAAACAGAACAGGGCTTGTCAGTGGAGGTGGGATAGTTTTGATGGTCTCAGCCTCAGACCATAAAGAAATGTTATTCACCCATGCACAACGTATAATTCATCCTAAGTGGCAGGTTCTGCTCTGGAGAAGCAGTTGACTGAGCTGCCTTACAAAGTCAATTACTGCTTATTCTCAGGGAGGCGGGGGAGTCTGGGCCAGAAGGGCTGAGATGCCTGCCAAGAAGGCATGGAAGAATTTGCTTTGTGTCAGCCTGCATGACACAGTATCTCATTTGTGGGTAAATATAAATCTAGTAGGCTGTTTTTGTTTTGTTTTTAAAAAGAGGTGCTGTAAAATGTACCTTCCAAAAACAACATTCCTTCTTCCCTAAAACTTACATAAAATGAAGACTGTGTTAAAAGGCAGCCTTTGCACTTCTAAGCAATCTATTTTCATTAAAAGTTCTTTAAGGTAAAGCTACACTGCGTGGCTTATAACCTCATTCCTGTATACCTTCCTTTCTCAGGAAAATGACAGAACATTTCATATATTTCAGTAGATGTTTTGCACAAGTAAAGTCTGAGTAATTAGTTAACGTAAGTATTATTGTCTATGCAAGTGTGAAGAACTGCCAATAAATTAAAGAGAGAGAGAGAGAGAAGAAAAACCTCAGACCAATGTAAATAATAGACATTGTTTTATAAGGGCATCAAATCTAGAAAAAATTCCCCAGGAAAAGGGAAAGGGGGGAAAAAGGAAAAAGGAAAAGGAGAACATCTTGAAATAAATGGTGTACTTATCGCTGAGAAATGAGCCTAGATACGTCTTAAAAAATGTTAAAGCTCAGAATTTACTGCATCATTCATGCAGTTTCATATCTCTCATTTCATGCCACAACAAGGGATTCTGCATACTCCATATGAAATACAGTAAGACTATGATTTTTCCCCCCAGCAGCAATAAACTCCACGCATGCATGACAAATCCAAGCATGCAAAAATGTTTAGCATCCCAGTTCAGAGATACTTTGGGGACAAAATCCGATTATGAGTTATATGCCACAATAAATAGGGCTCAGCGTTTCATAAAGCAATTTATAGTTCATAAAAATGACAAAATGTACCTGTCGGATAGAACCCGGAGAGCAGATCTCTGTGCTGCCTGCTGGAAGGAAGGGCAGAGATGTTTATTTTATACTCTGACTTTTAAAACAGGAGCTCAATCAACACTTTAAAAAAACACACGCATGTCACACACATTCCTATCACGTGTCCAAATTTTAAAGTATTAACAAGTAGCAGTAATATGGATATTTCTGATCTACAAGATGTAATAACACTTTGTTAAGTACGCTATAAAGCCCCCAAAATGGTTAAAGCACAGATCTTTCCATCCATACAATTCTATTCAAATGACTTTAAAAAAACCAAAAACCTTGCAGGAAATTATTCCTTCCCTTCCCACCATCTCATTTACCATTAGTCCCCTTCCATTCTTCTGCAAAACAGACAGCACATATTTGGGTCTCTGGAATCATCTGTTGTTAGTTACAGAATTGTACGTTTAGCAAACTATGCAAGAACTGCTGCAGGCTTTCTAAGACATCGTTGTGATACACTGTTGGCAAGTTCTGACTGTGCTGCAAAAGCAGATGAATGTTCCATTGATGCTTTACCTCTCAGTCATTGCCTGCTGAAGGTGGTGGTGGTGGTGGAATCCAGATCTTGCTAGTACGTTAAATTGTGGAGGGGAAAAAATCATATCCTTACGAATTTAACAGGACGCTCCATTTTTATCAGCAAACTAGCTTCCAATTTCTTTATTGACCATTTGCTGACATGAGTCTCCTGGAAAGTACTGACATGGATGGCTTCGTTTTCAGTGACTAACTGAATATACCTAATATTGCGATCGTCTTGGCTACAATCTTGGCCTTGGCTTTAATCTCATACATTCTGGATTTCTGCCAACACTCTTTGGAATAAAGAGTTCGTATAAACAACTGTACCATTAAATCAATGGTTATTACTTTACACCCAAAGTTGTGTAACATCTTTATAAATAGAGCAGCCCCTTGCTATATTTATGTACAGTAAGCTTGTGTGCATTCAGTTTTACATGCTTGGCAATTTAGTTTTTTATTTATGGGTGGGGGGAATGGCAAGGGGGCGGGCACCCAGGAAAAAAAGACTTTGGCAATCCCACCATTGCACCCAAAGTGTTTTGACTATACACGTTTTTTGTTTTAGGTGCGATCCATGGAATGTAGTCCCCACATAACTTGTGTGCTTACTGGACTATATTTTATTACATTCAAGAAGCACAAGGTGGCACATATGGTTATCCCCCTCCCATTTTATCCTGACCAAGCTGAGTTTTAAGTCTGAGAAGAAGTTTGAATATGGGTCTCTCTGGTGCAAGACTTTGTTGATGGTCTACTTAGGTACAATTTCATTCACAGCACGAAACGATGGTTCTGCATATTGTTAATTCATAATTGTACCTTGCATGTCCCACTATCTCCATGTGAGAGGACTTTAGCAAGTCAGAAACCTTATTTTTGTAGAGAGAAATCCTGGTTACAATCGAAAGTAATGGTTCTTTGTTTTTCAGTGGGACTTCTTCATCTTTCCTGCTTGCCACGAGTGACATGCTGCATGACCCACCCTGCAATTATTTCATTAATTCTAACACTTTATTTCAGGATTTTTCAAACTGGTGCCACCACTGGCTGTTGGGACATAACAGGGTCTTCTCAGTGGTGGTTCCCAGTTTGTGGAATGCCCTTCCTGGGGAGGTGCATCCGCCTCTTTCATCAGCATCAGCATCAACAACAAGCTGATATTGGTAGGTCTTTTCAGAACCATTTAACTACAATATATACGATATACGATATCTTTATTGTCATTGTCCCATGCAGAACAATGAAATTGAAAAACTACATAAAACTACATAAAAACTACATAAAACATTCAAACCCCCCTAAAAACTCTGAAACCCCATTTTAAACTACAGACCTGAAATGGGTCCAAATAGAACAGTTTTCCCAAATTTGATAAGCAGATCTGCCACATCTCCTCTTCTCCTTCATATTTATTTGCTGATAAGTAAAAATTAACTCTATGACCCTAGTAAAGATCCCCCCCCCGGAGATCTGATATTGAAATTACGGAATTATTTACTCTCAGAATGTCTGTTTGAATCTCTAAAAGCTTGTGTCAGGTACAAGTCTTTTGTTCCGGTCCAAATTCCATTGCCCTGGAGTACTCTTTGAAATTAACTGGAAGATTATCACATACGTATGTATGATGATAACCAACAGGTGATATAACTATATGTTGAAAGGTGTAAAAATAGCGTGCCCTTATCTGCCTTGTGTGCTCCTTTTAAAAAACCAGAGCTCACACAAGGAAGAAAGCAGATGAATCTCTCACATGGGCAAGATGCCAGAAGTGAAGAACTTGGAAAAATTGCTTCAGACTATGTCATGATCATGGAAAGCTCAGATGACATACCATTCAGGAAGGTAGGTAGACAATAATATATTACCTCTCCAAAACAAGAGCAGAACAGAGACAGATAACTCCTGACTCCGCCCAAATACAACAAAGCCCAGTGTCACTGAGTAAGACTATTTTAAGGACCCTATGCACACAGCCTATGGCAGCGCAACTAATTTGACAGAAAATTATCAAAGACAATTATCAAATAAAAATTAGGCTGCGTAGAAAAGTAATCTTCTGCCAACTCATTTTCTTCCATGTTGCTATACTAATTCTTTTTAACTTGCACAGGTTTTTGGTACAAAGATGCAACATTGAAAAACATACACTCCAGAACTCAAGTTGCCTCGGGTTTTTCACTTCGGTAGTGTGTGTACTATGAGTTACTATCATTTGTAATATGTACTTGCTGCATGCATTAAAAATACATTTTAAGCCGAAAAACAGAAGTGTAAGAAAACATTCCTGCAGAAAGTGTGTTGTGGTGCACAGGGTTCTGCCACCAGCACAACTCTTCCCCCTTCGTTGCCTGAGCTGCTCTGTCGGCTGTGGGGCTCAGATGTGACAAGTGAGTCACCTAATCCCTGAAAATTATGCTCAGTGTAGATTCATTTTTAAGTTACAAGCTGATTGCTTATTAAAGTATAACTGATGCACTTCCCTCCTCTGTGCCAGTTAATTAGCAGCTTTTGAAAATATTTTGGCCCCTCTAAATGTTACATAAACATCTGTTTTACCATAATCACCCTTGTCAGACAATATTAGTTTATTTGTCAACTTCTTGCTGTGTGTTGATGTTTTATTTATTTAAACGGTGTTAATGCCACTTCTAGAAATTTCATATTGACTATTTCTGTTTTGACAATTTATTAGTGGACAACTATTTTTTAAAAAAAAACCAAAGACCTACAGCAAACATTTTTCAGCTTGAGAGCCACATTCCCTCATGCACATCCTTCCAGGACCTGAATACTTCTGGTGGGTGTGATGAGACACACACCACTCTCCATCCTCCATCCACTTCAATGATAGACTCCAGACAGATAAAACCACTAGAGGAGTCCCCAGAGAAGGGTTAATGAGGAGTGTGGCTTGCAGAGAAAGCATGGTCTGCTCAGTGTTCTTCAGGGACAGAAAGAGGTACCAGGTGGGCTGCATTTGACCCACAATCTTTAGGTTCCCCAATATCTGCAGGAAAAGTATGTGAAAACAAGCTGGGAAATATATTTGCACACATTACAGTGGTACCTCGGGTTACATACGCTTCATGTTACAGACTCCGCTAACCCAGAAATATTACCTCGGGTTAAGAACTTTGCTTCAGGATGAGAACAGAAATCGTGCTCCGGTAGCGCGGCAGCAGCAGGAGGCCCCATTAGCTAAAGTAGTGCTTCAGGTTAAGAACAGTTTCAGGTTAAGAACAGACCTCCGGAACGAATTAAGTACTTAACCCAAGGTACCACTGTATATTCTAGCAAGCGGGATCTGCAACAACATGGCGTACTCCTGTTTGACTGTTTCATTTAGTCTGCCATTTGCTCCTTCATTATATTCCATCCCATTACCCCTTGCACCTGGTTTTCTGTTTCCACCTCCCGCAGAGTCAGTCAGCACAGCATTCCAGGGCCACTAAGCACATTAAGTCCCCATTGGTTTATCATTCTGCCTTAGTTCCTATCCACCCGCCCCTGAGCTTTTTGCACTCTTGCAAACCTTGGGGTCTTCTCCTGACTCCCCTGTTGTTGGCAGGTGATGCTTTTTTAGCTACATAAGCAACAATGCTCACAGATGAGAACCAGAAATTCAGGGAACACCGTGTGTATGTATGTGTGTTGCAAATAAGGAATGTTGAGCCCAGGTATTTGACCTAAAACTGTTCCCCTGAAGCTGTGTTTATAGCTCCTTATCTTTATTTGAAATCAATACAGTTATTTCAGGAAACTTGCTACCGTACACAAAGAAGGGTTGAGATTCTGCTCAAGTGGATTTTAAGAATACTGCTGTGATAGAAGCAAGAGAGGGGGAGGGGGGACCATTGATGGTCGGGAATACAGAGCAAAGAATTTCAGGTGAATTGCTCAGCTTCGATACCTCAGTTGCCATGAATTGTAAGATACAGGATTTTGTCCATCTCTTCCCCCAGCCCTCCATTAGTGGATATAGATTCATTCAGCACTAGGTCGATTGATTTCCCCTCAGCCTATTAATCACTCTGGAAAAGTTCCAGCTGTACTTCAAGTCCATGAGACAACACAAGTATTCTAACAGCAGTAATAATTTTGTGGTTCTCATTCTCTTGAGATTGCATCTTCTATCTCCAGCTTTTATTGCAACAAGTCAGAGGTTGGGGAAATAATCAGCAAATATTTAGGTTTCAGCGTCAGTAAAACAAACTACCCCCAAACTGCCATGAGTTGCAATCTGTTGGTGAAAGGAAATCAAAGGGGAAACTGAATGCCTCCATTGTAATTGGGAGTGAAAAGTGAGCAACTTCAATGTAGAGTACAGCAATGCACGGAACAAGATGAAAGGAAGCTGAGGAAGAGATGATCTGTGCCTTACAATGCTCAGAGAAATTTGAAAAATGCTAATACTGAGGCCAGATACTATATGCTGCATTAAGCTTTGAATCTGCAGGTATTTAAACCTATGTTACAATTTAACAACTTTACTAACTCCTTTTTAACAATAAAGAAGAACTATGTGATGGGAGAGGTGTCCACCAGTTATTGATGTAGAGGAGAAAATGGACTGGACCCTAATTATAGGCTGGGATAATTCATAGTTGGGAAGAACAATCAATGCGACCTATTTCTTGTACTTGCTGGGTAGTAAACAGGCTACACTACTGCTGTAACCTGGCCACAACTATGGTAATGGACACAATGAGCATCTCTCCAGTACGTTCTATATTACAGAATCTGGCTTATGATATAAACGATTGACACACAATAAAAGCAAGGACAGAATGAAACAGCCTCTGCTTAGTCAGTGAATGTGGAAGACCAGTGTTTCAAAAGCTAGGCATTAAAAAAAAAAGGGGGGGGGAGTAAGTTTAAGAAAAGATGGCCCTGAATGGAAAAATGACAAATGGGAGGAGAAGGTGTCATTGGTGTTTGAAGTGTATGTATGATCAACTTAGGTAAAGGTAAAGGTACCCCTGCCCGTACGGGCCAGTCTTGACAGACTCTAGGGTTGTGCGCTCATCTCACTCTATAGGCCGGGAGCCAGCGCTGTCCGCAGACACTTCCGGGTCACGTGGCCAGCGTGACAAGCTGCATCTGGCGAGCCAGCACAGCACACGGAATGCCGTTTACCTTCCCGCTGGTAAGCGGTCCCTATTTATCTACTTGCACTTAGGGGTGCTTTCGAACTGCTAGGTTGGCAGGCGCTGGGACCGAACGACGGGAGCGCACCCCGCCGCGGGGATTCGAACTGCCGACCATGAGATTGGCAAGTCCTAGGCACTGAGGTTTTACCCACAGCGCCACCCGCGTCCCAATGATCAACTTAGTTCATTATAAAAATGATGGTTTTCCTTTTTATTATTGCATATATTTTATTCTTCAATAATATATGTTGTTGTTGTTGATGATGATGATGTTTGTTGTTGTGGTGGTGGTGTGTCTCGAGAGACAATGGAGTGCACCTCAGGGGGATGTGAAGTCAAACCACTGGGTTATCACAGGGCCTGCTGTGGCTGCAGACACCAGTAATTTGTAACTGCTGCCTCCTGCATTGTTTTTGCTGTGTTAGCAGCACCAAAGTGACCTCCCCGGGGCACAAGCCTGGGCAGAGTGTATGGAAGTCCTGGGCTGCCAAGACAACAAGGCCCCCTGCTCAGCCTCACTGATGTGGTCCAAAGGAAAGTGAAACAATACATTTGGCACCAGCTTGGCTGCAGGAGTTGCCAGAAGGAGGTGTACAAGACGCCATCCAACCACCTTAGGGACTGCACACCATATTTATATAGGGTTTTGCAAGGCAGTGGATAGCAAGAAGGGGGGAAATAGGTAGATGATAGACAAACAGATAGACAGACAGACAGACAGACAGACAGACAGACAGACAGACATAGGTAAAGGGACCCCAGACCATTAGGTCCAGTCGTGACCGACTCTGGGGTTGCGGCGCTCATCTCGCTTTATTGGCCGAGGGAGCCGGCGTTTGTCCGCAGATAGATTCCGGGTCATGTGGCCAGCATGACCAAGCTGCTTCTGGGAAACCAGAGCAGCGCACAGAAACGCCGTTTACCTTCCCGCCGGAGCGGTACCTATTTATCTACTTGCACTTTGATGTGCTTTCAAACTGCTAGGTTGGCAGGAGCAGGGACCGAGCAACGGGAGCACACCCCGTCAGGGGATTCGAACCACCGACCTTCTAATCGGCAAGTCCTAGGCTCTGTGGTTTAACCCACAGCGCCACCCGTGTCCTCAGGTGGTACCTGCTAATGGAGAGGAGGACATGCTGAAAGGAGGTGGTTCAGTGCAGACTATAGAATCATCAGGGAAGCAGGTCACCTTATGTTCTGCATAACCATTTCTGTGCTTCCACCTTGCCTCTGGGTGTCACCTACCAAACAGTGTAATTGCACAAGCAATGCTAAATTCACTGAGTTCACAGAGATGAACGAGCTTGTGCAACAGCAGCCCTTCCTGGAGAACCCTCTCTGCTCCTGCCCACATTCCCTTCCCTTTCTAACGCCATCCAACTGCTTACTTTGCATAATTTATGACAAGCATAGAACTTTCAGCACATCGCTGTGGAATATACACTTGACCTTATCTCTATTAAGCACATTCAAATCAAGTCTCTTGGTGTTGTACACACAATACTACAGAGCTGGTCTCTGCACCATTTCTTTCAGGCACAGACATACAGCAATACATAGAAGGCGGCTTTTTAAAAATAATGAGCATCTGCTGTAAAGGGCAGTGGCTGCTGAAATCATTAAACGTAATCATTAAACCATCTTCTATTAAAATCTTGTTAGCCAATTTTAGATGCATTACTACTAAGACACTATTAATGAAAACTGTCATAGCTAATCTGGGCTTGGAATGCTGAGATTTAAAATATTTTAGCTTGGGAGTTATATCAGCGTGCCCTTAGGGAAGGCTAAGGTTTAGGTGGCAGAGTAACTTTAACGTCCCCTGAAAGGTTTCGACTATATTTTATTAAAACAAGTTAATGGTATTATGTTAAACATGTCATTTGATGATACACAAGTTTAAAAACTTTTAAGTAGCAGTCATGTGTGTGCATGAACAGGATTGGAAGAGGGGCTGACATATGGGGAAGTAGGGGTTAACTGTAGTCCCAGCTCCCACAAAACACTGCCCCACTGAAGCTGCTATTTAGTCTTGGAGCGAAAATGCTAGGTATAGTCCTACCTGGTATGATTGTTCAAGTAATCTGAATTCGTCATAATATTTTAGCACATACTTACTAAGTGTGTGTGTGTGTGTGTGTGTGTGTGTGTGTGTGAGAGAGAGAGAGAGAGAGAGAGAGAGAGAGAGAGAGAGAGAGAGTGCTATTACTTGAAAAGTACTACAACAAAGTTCTTTTTCTTTCACTCACAGCCAGAGTTCCATTTTGAAGCCATGTCTCTAAAGATGGATTTTGGTTGCTTCTGTAGCTTCTATTTATACAATTTCACAATTTCTTTGGCAGAGGCCAAGAGTACATACCAGGGTGTTGCCGTTTATGAACCTCGGGAGATGTGAGAGGCAAACAGACTGGATGAACTTTGGTTACATATTCCAGACAAGCACAATGGCTCTATTTATTCAGATTAAGCTGCTGAATGCAGATTGATTGGCTCTGTGGGCAATAAATTTTCACAGCCACAAAACCTCAGTGGCAACCAACCTGATCCTGCAGAAGGGTGGGGAAACTGCCTACAAGCCTGAGGTTGTAAAAATAAGTTAGATTATTTTTCCACATATGTAAACTAGTCAGTCAAATTCTTTTAACACTGATTGACATGAATTCCACAACTGGCTCCAGTGGCTTACTTCTTCCCTATAGAGTTCTACTTTCTTCTATAAAATGTTCTATCCTAAAATAATAGGAAGCAAAGTAGAAAGGAGGAAGGAAAGGAAGGAGGGATATTTGCATAATAGTTAGCAATCACTGTTTAATATAATGCACCCAAGACTGATTTAAACGGCCCAGTGACCACTATACTGAAGAACAGAGAATCGAAATATGGATATTTCATGTGTCATTCCACACTTCAGGGGAACCAAGAGGCAATAATCATGACAACTGAACAATCTTAAGTATGATTTTAACATCTCCATGACACAAAGCTTCAGACATTTTCTGAAAGGATGATGGCAGCATTATTGCTCTATGTATTATAAATCAAAGGGAACTGGGTCATTTTAACTTGCAGATTTATGTTAACTACCAGGCGGTCTGCTAATTGTGTGAGCTCTTCAGATATTTATTGGGGATCAAAAAGGTAAGTTCTTCTCCAAAATCGGTGGAATTAAATACGCAAGCAGGAAAAAAAATTCTATCCCCACATTAGCTCTTCTGATCACTGCCTATAAAATTTTAACTATGATTTTAACTGGATAAATGATGAGGAGCAAAGGAGGAAAATACATTTAGGTAATTAAAATTAAGGATCTATCTAATGTGTGTGGCTAATTAATTACAGCAAGCTTCTTGACACATGATCAGCTCAACTTTGTTCTCCTCTTCCTCCTCCTTCATAGCTTCTTCTCTAACTCTTAAGCTTATTTATTTAACGTAACACATTGAGAGCATTTTCATGCTACCACACATTCTCTGCTCTTGTAGCCATACACTTTCATTGGAAAATCCCATGTTATTGTCTGGGCTTGTTCCCATGGGACATCCTACAGTGCTTTAATTTCTAGGAAGGAAGAGAGGCAGAGGCTATGAGGAAATATCATTTCCTCTTTAGCACTTTAACACTTTAACAACTCGTTGCCCTCCACTTGTTTTGGATGACAACTCCCATCCACTGCAGCCAGTACAGCCATGGCTAGGGCAAAACCTCTTCACTAGATTGAGGACAATTCCCCCATTTCCTGCAGCCCTATATGACACAGCCATCACTGCTCAGAGGACTGCCCTGACTCCCAGGAGAAAGTCTTATGAGCGGGGAGAAGGGAAAGGTCAGCTGCCTTCTAGTTGCGCCACCATTGGATACCGACGAAGAGCTATAACTCCATACACATTATTAACTGGATCCTCAGCTTTGTATGAAATGCTTCTTATGAAATATTTAAATGAGTTATGACATTGTCAGCATACCTCTATCATTAGATCATGCACTTTTTATATTTAAAAAAACCTTTAGTTTTGTTACCTGGTCGTTCTCCTCTTCATCACTGCTCAACTTGAGGTCATCTTCTAACATCCTGGAAAGAGAAAACAACAAATGACCTACATTTAAGTCCAATAAAACATTTCAGATATAGTTTAGATAATAAAAGCCTCTTAATTATGTGGCACTATGATGTAAGAAGAACGTTGGTGAATCGGACCAAATGCACACATAGATCTGGCTTCAAGGATGACGCTGCGTGGGTGGTGGAGGGCACCCAGATCCTGGTTTCACCAGGCCAAGGCCTGGTCAATAACAAACAAACAAACAAACAAACAAACAAACAAACAAACAAACAAACAAACTGTCTGTTCATTCAGCTTTCCTGTACAAAGGGAGGCAGGTCTTTCAGGGAACAGAAACGCCTTGGGTTCCACCACCAAGTATATTAGAGGGAAGGATCAATAATGGAGGGAAGCAGAGGAAGAGGCGGGAATATGAGGCCTGTGAGGATGCTACCTGGCAGGACTAGCATATCAGGCAAAATAGCATGGGGTGTGGGGGAACTGATCGCATGAGTTGCCCAAGGAAATAGCTGGTTGTCTCATGCAGGAGCCAGGCTATTGGTTTATGCAGTGCTTCTCCTGACTGGCTCAGGAATCTGTGAGGGAAGGGTTTTTCACCTTTTCTAATGTATAAACCATCATCCATAGTGATGCTTATAGGTCTCTCTTTCCCCCCCCAAAGTGACTCAAAGCGACTTACTGAAACATCATCAAAAGCCAGTATAGAAACAAAAACAAAACAGAAACCTGAAGTGCTCCTCCACAATATGCAGAGATCCCACTCAACCCACACAAGCTGCTCTAGTGGCTCCTCCTACAATCCCTGTTTTGAGACTGGAGGCAGGTGTGTAAAGGGTTGTGTGTGAAGTTCCTCCCATTCCCATTTCAGCAGCTGTACTGTCTGGATGAAAAGTAACTTTTCCCCCAGAGCATCATTGAAAGGCAACAAACTATGTTGTCATTTGGGAGAGCTGCGATCCTACTTCTGAGGCTGATGGACCAGCGTTTGAAAGTCCCATTGTTCTAGGTGCATTTTGCGACAGGTAATTTCATTAATGCGAACATTTTTCGGAGCTCTGGGAGCAGTACTGCACTTAAGATTTCAGATTAAAACAAATGCAAGATTTTAGCTGTAGTTCATTCATTTTCAGCTTTGTATTCTTGTTATAAAAAAAGCGCGCCTAGACATTCCGTTGTGGTGCCCATAACCTAGGTTTAAGGTGCCATTTAGCTCCTAAGTTTTCAGTTTCTAACACTGTGCTGGACATATTATTCCCTTCTTTCCATGCCTGTGCCACTCTGCTTTCTACACAGGCCCTAACCCCTCTAGGATCATGACAGAGTGCCATCCTGTGGACACCAGAAGCAACCAGAAAAAGTTTGGTGCGTGCTAAAGATTAATCAATGAGACTTGCTTCCACTGAGGAGAAGGGAAATGCTGTTACACTTGAATAGCAATCAGACCTCAACACTGCAAATTTACCCCAAATGGTATGCAAAGTAGTGGCTAGGAAATATAATTTCTACTTAGTAGAAATTCACATAACAGACAAGAAAAAAGTACAATGCTTGACAACTCTGCATGCAGTCAATTTTTTTGGTCACTGCTATCATTTATCTCTTAAGTCCAGAAGTGTGACTCTGTCACAATCCAACTTGGAGGCAATTAACACTTCACACAGCATCAGGGGTCCTCAAAGTGTCTAACTACACAGTAGTCATGTGCTTCCTGTGCTCCCAAGTATTTTGAAGTGTATCTCCTCTTGGTGCTTAACCAAAGTTAACTGCTTGAGGTATTGGCTTGATGACTGGGTAGAGAGCCTTCTGAGTGACAGAATCATGTTTCTGGAATGTTCTCCTCAGGAAAGCATACCTGGCATCTGCACTGTCATATTCTCAGTGCCAGACAAAGACCTTTTTGTTATCCCAGGCTTCTTAAGAATGCTTGACCCTGATCTGGTATATTTTTATTTGAAAGGTGAAATAAAATCTATTAAACTTGAAGCAGCAGACAAGTACCAGAATTCCTATGAAGCTGCTCGTCATGAATTGAAAATAGAAAACAGAGGGTAAGTGATAATTTTGTAATTCTCCTAGAATCACAAACAGGTGGCAAACTGGGTCATGTGTTTCTTTAATAATAACAATAAATCAGTTCAAAGGTATATCTCATTAGTTGGGATGTCATTATTCTTTGAGAGAATTTGCATGCATTCTGACTGTCAGTCAAATCAGCTAACATCAATAAATATTGACTGGAAAACATGCAGAGTCTGGTTTTTTTATTTGTGCAAAATGAACCATCTACTGCAAACTCCAAGAAAAGGCATACCTCTGAAAAATATGTGCTAAGATTAATCTATTGAAACACACAGATAAAAGATATCTAACTATCAAAACATAAATACTTCATGAATAATGGGTGGACACATGTTTCAATCAGTGTTAATGAAGTGAAATTTACTGCTCTTATCCTCTTCCCATCACATAACAGATGGTTAACCTTGCCTAATGCATATCTACATCCAAAGCATGAATTTCATTTAGGACAATCTGCTAACACAGTATCAACGAAGCTGCCATTTTAAACAAGCTGTTGTGGCAACTCTATCACTGAAACAGTTCCACATGCTAAAAATCTAATGTACAATTTTGCTGCTGTGTTTTTGAAAACCACACCGCTTATTTCTTTAGAAGGAAACAGAAAAAAACCAGAAGATTGTTGCTAACATAGGAACAGAGGCGGAGCTAGCTGCTCTGGCACCCATGCTGTGTACCCGGGGGCGGGGCGAGCATCCCAGGGGGCAGGATAAGTGTCCCGGGGGGGGGCGCCGCCCACAGTGAGCATCCCAGGGGGCAAAGCGAGCGGCCCATGGGAGGTGGAGCGAGCCGCCCATGGCGGGCTGTTTCCTGGGCGGGCAAGGGGGGGAGGGAGCTGTGCTGCCTTGCCAGCAGCCTTCCTCCCTTCCCTCTTCCTTTTGACAGCTCGGAGGAGGCTCCCTCCCCCAGGAAGCAGCCCAGGAACGGAGGCAACGGCACACCGCCCACCCAAGCCTCCTCTGAGCTGTCAAAACGAACGGGGCTGCTGGCAAGTTGGTGCAGCTCCGCCCTTTCCCCCGACAGCTCGGGGTAGGCTTGGGAGTCATGGGCGGGTGGTGCACCAAATGTCACCCCCCTCAGCGATGACACCCGGGGCAGACCGCACCCACCCACCCCCTTCCTCCGCCCCTGTAAGAGAAGTTGAACGGTTGGGGGGGGGGAACGCAATTTGCAAATATTTCAGTGGAGCCCACTAGGATGTCTCTAGAAAGCTTCTATTGTGCATTAGAGTACAAGTGGGGCTTGCAGCAAATGCTGACATGGAGTATTCCTATTCAGTTGTTCCAGCCATGCCTTCATACAGGATACTCCATCCCATTCCACCAAACTACATCAATAGCTCATCATCCTGGGTTCACTGACTGTATACAGGTGCTCATGACTTTTTGTTATACAGTGGTACCACGGGTTACAGACGCTTCGGGTTACAGACGCTTCAGGTTACAGACTCCACTAACCCAGAAATAGTACCTTGGGTTAAGATTTTTGCTTCAGGATGAGAACAGAAATTGTGTGGTGGCGGCAGAAGGAGGCCCCATTAGCTAAAGTGGTACCTCAGGTTAAGAACAGTTTCAGGTTAAGAATGGACCTCCAGAACGAATTAAGTTCTTAACCCGAGGTACCGCTGTATTTTTTAAAATCCCCCTACTTCCCATGTGAATTAAGACCCTCCCACTTTTTTTATAACACTTTGCAGTGGCATGGCATTATAAGCAATATTCTTCTTTCTTTGGAGATCACTCGTAGCCAAGTAAGATTGTCTTCCATGAACACGGTCTTAACAGTGAGTCCGTAAGTGACTGTGGAGGCCAATTCTGAATCCACACGTCCTTCTACAGTGGGGACATAAGTTTTCGGGCAGGAGTTGATCATGGTGAGTGGTTTGCCAAACATGCCTTCCTCTTAGCTCATTTCTCCTTTCCGTCCTGAGTTTGTGCTTCTTCACAGTCCACGGCACCTTTAGTAAAGGCTGTTTTCCAGTTGAAGCACTCGCAGGCCAGTGTTTCCCATAGGATGGCATTATTAAAAAAGGGAGATACAATTCTGTATTCCACATTATGCCTCATGAGTGGCAACAACATTTGCAAATAATACTAGCACAGTGATGGGCCACAAATGAAAAGGGTTTCAGTGTGGATTGCAGCTGAGGTGGTTGCTTGTTTTGCTCTTTCACTGAGGGTCCCTCAAGTATGCTGATGCCTCTCCTCTTGCTGTTTTGGATACGTAAGAAAGGCACACAAAGAAAGAGTTTGTCATTAATGGCTGACCTGCAAAAAAGTGTTGCAGTGTGAGGACGTGTGTTCAGGAATCCAGTTAGTGTCTCCATTCCACACCTCCAGTTTGTTTGTTTACCCTTGGAAGCCTTAGGGGGCAATTCTATGGCAAGATCCAGTGGGATGAGCATCTTAGGATGCAGTGGGACTTAGGCTGGAATGGATCCTAAACCAGTTTAACTGTCTCGTGTTACCTGGCATAGAACATTATTTTAAAGGCTTGTTTTCCCTCTGCAGAGAAGCAGCAGTAGCCCTGCTGCTGAATGGAATGTGAATCTGGTGTAACTTTATGATGGTTTAATTTACCCTGGCTAGCTTTACAATAGCTTCTTGTGCTCAGGATTGCTCCCTTATTTATATCTCTCAACTTGAGTTTCTGGATGGTTCCACTTTGGTTATGAAATGACTGGAGAACTGAGTTTCTTATTAGTACATAAAATGATGGCACATAAAATAGTACAGAATAAGGCCAGCTAGGGGGAACTTCCGGGTTGGCGCGATCCGGGAATGGCGGATTCCCTCCGAGCTCCGGAGGGAATCGGCTCAGCGGTGGATGGGTCTTTGCCGTGCCGGCGACACGGGGACCCTTAAAAACCGCAGGTGCAGATGCCTGCGGACTGAAGACTCGGCGGGTGCCTTAAGCGCCCCCCCTGATT